AGAGAGAGAGAGAGAGAGAGAGAGAGAGAGAGAGAGAGAGTTCACTACTGCGGGCCACGAAAGCATTGAGCGAGGTACATAAGTGTGATTTTGGCCCGCAGTAGCGAACTCCATACATTTTAGTTTTGGCAGACGGTTCTTTCTTTCTTTGTTTCTGGCGTCTCTCTCTCTCTCTCTCTCTCTCTCTTTCTCTCTTTCTCTCTCTCCATTCTTTCTTTCCTTCGTCTCTATCTCTCTCACTCCCTCATTCCGACGGATGCATTTGGAAAGAATGGTCTGCTTTGTATTTGTTAAGTTGTGTTGTCCAGTGTTATATCGAGTCATGTACGGGGGAAACGCAAATGTACAGTAATAAATGACAATGTATGTTGCCACGTACATATAGGCAATCTTTGGTAGGCGTCCGCTGACAAGAACTATGGAAGTAGTGAGGGTGTGTCTCTGCCCCTCTCTCTCTCTCTCTCTCTGTATTTCTCTGTATGTACATATATTTTCAGATGTCAAGATTGGCCAAAACCGGACAGAAGAGAAAGTCAGGCGAAGAGTTTGATGCAACGGCGCATCACTTTGTACTACTGGGGGCCAAAGAAGAGAAGACGACTGAAATGGACCGGAACTGGGGTCAGATAGTAGAGAAGCAGCGAGAACATATAGACAGGCTAACAGACGAGGTACATAAGCAGAAACAATTGGTGAGACAGATGTCAGACGAACTAGGCGGTGTTAAGTCACTGCTCGTAGAAATGACAGAAACTGCGGAACATAGGATGTTCCCTGTGTTCTGGTGGTTAATATCCGATCCAAAGTGTTTAGACATAACTCGTCTGAGGGAGGACATGACTGCTAGACTGAAGGCAATAGCTGAAACGAGGACCACCACGTTTGAGGAGTTCCAGACATGGTTGGATGGTGAAAGGCGCAGGCGCACCGCGGTCTTGAATCGGTTCGCCGCCCACGTCACAAAGAGAACTCACAAGGAATCACAAGGACTTGATGTCGCATCTTGTGGCAGCCCTGAGAAGTGTGTGCTGAAGGAGGGGTAGGCATCGTCTGATAGCCAATAATATAATACGGGTTCGCTAACTGCTTCGTCACGCAGTGTCGTCGACCTCTTGGCCTTCGCAGCAGGCTGTATTCGCCACTGTAAGAAAACCGTAGACGAGTATGGTCTCTGTGATGAGGGTGTCGCGACTGCTAAGGATGACCTTCCTCGCAATATGATGTCTCTGTTGAATAGTTGCTCGGACGTCATTGATGCCCTGCAACACACATGAGGTAGGTTGTTGGCTGGAGAAATGACGGTGACTTGTGCGAACGAAGTTGTCATGGGAAGTGCAGAAGGTGAAAGGACGAAGGTAAGTGAAGAAATCGACACAACAATGCAAACCTCCAGAGGAATTGGGACCACTGTCGGGGACTGCGCGCCTGCGCCGCATGCCCTGCTGGCGTGCACCGATGTTGCCACACTGAATTGTCACCACGTTCGTCACAACCTCGCATGTGTCGTCGCTAGCAAAGCACCTTGTGCTGATGCAGAATCTGTTGCGTTGCCTATGACGACGGACACATTTCAAAAGTTCGTTGCAAAAGCGAATTCTCGACAAATGGAGAGGCTGGTTGCGGACTGTCTGTTGCATCTCATATCGTACATCAAAGAGATAATGGTACAGGTCGTAACGAACGCAGACCAGCATGGAGGGAATAACGAATGTCAGCATTGCAAGAAAGGACTTCACATCAACGACCGCTTAAAAACTCTCTACACAAGATGTCAAATCGTGGCTGCGCGGGTGGTCAGGGACGCGTGATCTCTCTCTCTCTCTCTCTCTCNATGTCAAATCGTGGCTGCGCGGGTGGTCAGGGACGCGTGATCTCTCTCTCTCTCTCTCTCTCATACACACACACACACACACACACACACACACACACACACACACACACACACACACACACACACACACACAATGATGTGTGTTTAAGTGCTGCATGTATTATTACTTTCTGCTTAGAGTAAATTTATGTCCATAATGTTTGCTGTTTTTTGCCTCACGACACACAAGTGGTTCACTACTGCTCGTCATATAAGTGTCCACCGGTGCTATTTGTTGTCTTTCTGACCCGCACTAGTGAACCTACCTCTGTCGCTGCTCTCTCTCTCTCTCTCTCTCTCTCTCTCTCTTTCTATCTATCTATCTATCTATCTATCTCTATCTCGGGTGAGGGGGCCATGTCGCAGCTACGTGTTCTCATAAATGTATGTGGTGTCTCATGCAATACATGGAACCCGCGATTGCATCGACTGTCAACGGTGGAGAGACATGCGTCATGGAGACGGAGGACATTCTGAAGGGTTTTGCAGATGACAACAAGGAAGGGAATTCAGCTGGAAGGAACACCGCAGACTGTGCAGAGGTGCTTGCGACAATTTGTGCACAGAGTGCAGAGATGATGGGTGATGGTGATGAAACAGAGAATGATGAAGGAGAGAGCACTTATGAGACGGAAAAGGTTGGGGAAGAGAGAGAGGAGGGAGGTCTGGGAAGCAGGGAATCTCTGACAGGGTGTATTGTGAAAGATGAAAATGTGGTGAAGACATCAGCAGGAGAAGAGTACCCATATGACAGCAATTGGGTGCCGGGTCGTGTTCAACAGGACATTGTTGGAGGAGGACCCTACTTTGCGTTCAAAGTCGAAGGGACATGGCTTCCATTTCCCGCCCCCAAAATGAATACATTGCGAAATGTGACTCTGTCAATCGTGTTTGATAGAGTATTAAGGTTGAACGATGGGGCAACACCACAGGTGAAAGACCGATATGCATTGGACATGTGGCGTGTTCTGGAGGCGTAGGGCAAGTTCAGGCTGAACGATTTTTTGTACGATAGTTTTGATTGCGGACAGGCATGGGTGATTGGCGGGAGCGACGCAACAGGGAGTACGGCGTGCCACGATAGTGATGCGAGGAGGGATCCTAGGTGGGGTTGGGTGCCATGTGTAATCCCGATTCCATGTGGTCGTGTGAGGATGATGATGCGTGATGCCATGGGAAATGTCTAGGCCACGCATTATGTGAATGGCAACTTCTCCTTCATGCACCTCGACAGGTAGGTCTCAGAAGACGAGAAGAAGGCAAAGGCATGTCCTACCCATACTGCTGGCTGCTTTTTCCTGCCGCTTCGGAACCTTGTGAAGTCGGAGGTGGTTGAAGGGAAAGTGTTCACTGGTGAGGATGGCAACACATACACGCATGCAAGAGGGCAAGAAGCCACGTATGATGGACTATGCTCGCAGATATGGGACCATGTCACAATGAGGAGTGATGTTCTGTCTACCATGGACATTGGGCCTCATGTCATCCCTGAAGGACAGTTGCAGCAGCATATGACCCCTGAAAAGTATGACTATCGTGTCAATTGGGTCCTAGGATGTTTAAATCCTGCAGTGGTGGATGGCAAGGTGACGATGGCAGCAAGACTGCAATCAGGGCAATGACTCCCATTAGGATGGGTGCATGCACGCATTGTGGAGCATTGGCAGTTCCTCGTGGTTCTGGCACGTGTCTCAATTTTCAATGTGAATGTAAAAGACCACGTGCTGGTGGTTGAACACGCAAAGCGCTGCTGGGAAAAGATAAGGGAGGAGGACCGTGAGATGTGTGTGCGGGTTATGACTCCATGGCTGACCGGGGGATGTGGTTCATGGTTGAGGGGAGTTGTACGGGCCAGGAGCACGGCGACGGTCAGAACAGATACATGGCTCACATTCACCGCAGGCACGGCTGCACGACCGTTCTTGGTTGGGTCCCGGTCGTATGTCCCATGACATATGAGCATGGTGGAGACGTCACCATGAGATTTAGAGACCCGCTAGGTGTGCCTTTCCATATGACCTACTCAGATGGACTCCCGCGAGACATTCGGTATCTGTCAGAGAATGACTTGGCAGGTCCAGCGCAGCCACGCAAGAGGACAGAGAAGCGCTCTGAAATTTCCCGTTTGTCTGCTGAGATGGAGGACCCATATGGTCGTGGTCGTGTTGGGGGGTGCTCTGCAGCACAGGGTGACATGGCCGGCCCCAGCGATGTCGTGATGTCGCAGAGCCCGGGGAAGATGAAGAAGTGCACGTCGGGACCGCCATGTGGGCAGACGCCCGCAGGCAGACAGAAGGTGAACCACAAGGCGGTGCCAGCGACCGGAGACACCGCAGGTGCACAAACTCAGGTCCCCAGACGCCGTCGACGCCCCGGGATGACAACTTTGTCGGAAATCAGAAAGTTGCAACGATCCACCGACCTTTGCTTGGCTTTCAGGCCGTTCTTGTGGCTCGTGCGCGAGGTTGTGGAGGAGGGCATTGCTCCGGGTATGGGCGTGAGGTTTCAGATGACGGCGGTGCGTGCTTTGATGGAGGCTGCCGAGGCGTACTTGGTCGCCAATTTCGAGAACACCAACGAGGTGGCCATCCATTCGAAGAGGGTGACGATCCAGGTCAGGGACATGAGACTGATGGATAGGTTGTCGAAGCCTCGCTGGGTTGAGAAATATCAAGGTATGTTGGACGAGAAGGCGAGAGCTGAGGAGAGACAACAACGGATGGAGGCCTCGACAGGCGGGAAGGGATGGCAGCAGAGCAGGGGCGAAGAAGAGGAAAGCAGTGCCACGACAGGCGGGAAGGG